ATTTACATGTATTGCAAAATGATGATATATCCAAGGGTATGAAATCTTGGATTGAGTTTTCATAGGCTATTTGCCCTAATGAGTGTTGTCTAGAGGTCCTCTCACTAAAACAACGGAGGTGGCCAGTGTCCCTCCTGGATTCAAGAGCTCTACTTTTCTGATGAACAGATTTTATTGGTTCTACCATGTTATCTGTATTTTGTGTTAGTTGTCAGTTGTTGCCGTTGATGATTACTACAAACTTTGTGACTCAAACAGCAGAGATTTTCTTACAGTTCTGTATGGTTAGAAGTCCAACCCTGGACTTACCTGATAAGAACATGGTGTTGGCAAGACTGAATACATTTCTGGAGATTTGGGTGAGTGGCAGGCTCCATTTCCTTGCTCCATTTCATGTCATTTGGAGAATTTAATTCTGTGCATTTGTGGGACTGAGGCCCCAGTTTCTTTGCTGGCTATCATCTGGGGGCTGCCCTTAGTCCCTACAGTTATCTCTTGGCCCTTATATATGGTTCCCTGCATCTCAGAACCAGCAATGGATTGTTCAATTCTTCTTATGCTACCATCTCTCTTACCTACCTTACTGCCTTCTTCCTCTTCTGCATTTAAGGATCCAAGTGATTAGAATGGTCCTACCAGGATAATCCAGGATTATCTTTCAGTTCCAAGGTCTATAATCTTAATCACATTGGCACAGCCCCTATCTATCTATCTATCTATCTATCTATCTATCTATCTATCTATCTATTTTGCCACTGTGACCAAAAGACCTGACAGGAATAATTTTAGAGAAGGAAAAGTCTATTTGGGTCTCATGGTTTCAGAGGTCTCAGTCCTTAGATGGCTAACTTCATTKCTCTGGGTCCAAGATGAAGCAAAACATCAAGGTAGAAGAGTTTGAAAGAGAAAAAACAGCTCAGGACATGGCAATAAGGAATTAGAGCTCTTGCTCACCAGGGACAAAATATATTTATCTCAAAAACATGTCCCTAGTGACTCACCTCCTCCAGTCACACCTTAGCTGCCTACAATTACCACCCAGTTAATCCCTATTAGTGGATTAATGCATTTATTAGGTTAAGGCTCTCATATCCCAATCATTTCATCTCTAAACTTTCTTGTATTGTCTCACACATAAGCTTTTGGGGGACACTTCATATCTAAACCATAACATTGAGCATCAGCATATTTGGGGACTACTGATTTGTCTAACATTCTCAGCTAAGAGGCATCTGAAACAGCTTGACCTACAGGGTAATCAGTGTGAATCAATGATGGTACTTAACTCCATGATACCCAGCCGATTCTCAATTACCCTGGCATTTAAGCTCACATTCAAGCTTATTTTTCCACTAAGTAGGACTGAAAGGCATTGACAGAGATTCTGTGGAATTTTGGGCTTCCAGCTCCTCTCCCTGAACACCCTTCTCCTTTTAACCAAAAAGAATAATAGCTCAAATTGAAACCATTCAAATTCAACCTTGGTGGGATGTCAAATCTAAGTTTACCTGGATGTGGAGAGCATGAGACTTCATTACACTGGAATTTGAATATTTTTTGTAATACAATTTTAAAAGAACAAGGATAAAAGTGTACCCCATCCTATGATAACTTAACAGTGCTTTTCTTCTCATGTATATTCTTTCTTCATGACCCAATTGGCCTCTGATGGAAACTTGACTGATTTTCATTGGTGTTGTTTCTTCCAACTGCAGAAAAACCTCGTTTTCCATCTCTCGCCACAGAGAGCAGGCAGGGCTAGCAGAACCAAGCTTAGTGATAAGGGAAGGTGGACCACTGCCAGACGAGGGAAAGGACCTCTCAGGACTCGGGAAGGAAAGGGCTGAACTTCCTGCCCTGACGTGATGTGGGATTCAAGCCATGTGAATTGGTTTCAGTAGGGAGTATTAAAAAAATACTGCAAATATTAGTAGAAGACAAGTACAGAAAGAGGTCTTTGAATGTCTGCTTTTTATCTATTCCTTGCTCACAAGTGGCTCTGATTGTCAATAGCAATATTTATTTCAATAAAGGAACTCAGACCAGTATACCCCAAGCCAAAGCAGTTCAACAGGGAACCATCCTTAAGACCCCATTTATAAATAATAATAATAATAAATACTATGATGGGACCTGAATAGCCTTCTGTGATGGATCTGAAGGACTTGTGCTTACACACAGTATAAAATTCCCCATTTATATCCCCCCACAAGGTTGTGCTTATTTAGTCCCCTTCTGATAGGACATGTCCTGAAGTTTTGATGTGAATTCAAGGTGCAAATGAGTACCATCTGACCAGGCATGGCAACAGCTCGGGAGGCTGAGGCAGGATCGAGAGTTCAAAGCCAGGCTCAGCAAAAGCCAGGCACTAAGCAATTCAGTGAGACCCTGTGTCTAAATAAAATACAAAAAAGGGCTAGGGATGTGGCTCAGTGGTCGAGTGCTCCTGAGTTCAATCCCTAGTACTCACTCCCTCTCCAAAAGAAAAAGAAAAACAAATTCTGGAATTCTTTCTGTGACCTCAACTACAGAAGAATTCAATTAAAATTTGTCAGTGCTAGGTAACGGAGTGAAGAGGGAATTGTATCGTTGTTGATACCTGTAATAACATTAATCCCACACCAATAGTCACCTGGGTTAGCTCAGAGTTCCAAATACCTTCATCTAACATCTGCTCTTCATCATCTAGGAGAATATCTTCAGGAACTCTTTCAAGGTTAAATTCATGGCTCATGGAGGTGCTAACCATTGTTAAAGAACTATTTTTAAAATTATAAAGATCTTGGCAGATGTGAACTCATTGGGAGAGGGCAGTTGGTAGAGATCAGGTGAGCTCTTTCCTATTAATGTTAAGACTTTGATGACTTGTGTTGAAAATGGACCAGAACTTTTGAATTGAGGTCATTGTAACTATGCTTGCTCCAGATTTAATTCCATGGAACATCTGTAGCTTAGATGAGGTGGAACCATACATGAAACCCCACAGAGAGCACCTTGATGTATCTCAAGCGGGCTCAGTGTTCTCTGAGGATGAACAATTCCTGAAGCCTGTTTTTTTCAGCCACTTCACAACAACACTTCTTTTGTTTTGTTAACACAAGACTTCATTCATATAGATAAAAACACTGTTGTTTGATTTATCATACCCATGAATATCTTTAAGGCTCTGAGTGGCCATTCAGTTCAAAGTTGTGGGCAGAACTTTTGCTTTATCTCCCCTGATATTTAATTTCTGAAATATCAGCAACACACAGAAATACTTTTGAAACCCCTAACACAAATGCAGGTCTAACTCATTGTTACCTGTCTAAGATAAACACAGACCAGAGGCAGAACAATAAATATCCTAAGATTTCCATTTTTTTTTTAGTTACTAGACATTGTGCAAGAATTTTTACCTTTGTCTTATCTTCTGTTATTATGGCTAATCATATTAATAATGCCATCAGGCATAAACAGAGACAGATATGTTTGTGGACTCAGAAGCCAATAGTCCTAAATTTGTTCCCTAATCTATTGYTCTGTGTGACCTTGAGTCAGCTGTTTAGTCTAAACATCAGTTCCTTATCTGTAAAATAAGGATAATGATATCTACTTGTAGGGCTGAAGTAAGGTGTATATAAGCTGATATACACAAAATACTTAGCCCACTGCCCAATCCATAGACTCTCAGTATATGTTAGATTCTTTCATCATTTTAGTCAAGATAAAAGAAATAGTGCCAGATCTTTTACAAGATTCTTAATCCAGGGTATCTACAGAGTTTTTAAAAAGTTTGTTTCTTGCTTCCTTTGGAGCAGGCAGGAAAAACAGAACAATTAGCACAATTATCCTAACCCAACCCTGTATAATAAGTAGATGTATGACCAAAATATTAGGTTGAATAACTTTGCCTGTATAATTTGGAGCTGATTGTGCTGTGTAAGGTCATGGATGCAAGGCTTGCAAGAACCCAGTGGATCCAGAATGGCCCTGAAATTCAGCCATAAAATGAACAAAGATCTTAAGCAAGACTGCTGGGAGTCCATGCCATGCCATGCTGCCTGGGGGAGCAGCATTTCCTGGACAGAGCACCTCCCTGGCCCTGGCCTTCTCCCAGGACAGCCCTGCCTGGATGAATACACATTCAAGAGCTGTAAAATACAGAGCACTTTCACAACCCAATTACTGTGCATGGGACTTGGGTGGGGAGGCCTAAAATTTCCTGGCAGACTTTTAGACCTCAACAATGAAACACCTATAAACCCCTATGAGGGCAAAAAGAGCTCTTGCTAGACTTCTTCTATAGGAGGCAGGAGCTGGCTTCCACCCATTGTGATGAATTGTACTGCAGCATCTCCTGCCAACGAGGGTGGCACTGGCTAGGAAATCTCCAAAGCATTCCTTGCCATTATCAAGGGAATGTGAGTTAGATATGGTCCCTTACTTTAAGTCCTCAGCGTTTTTTGAAAATGTCTGTTTTGTTGAAGGATTTCAAGGAAAAAAGAAACTCGATGTCAAAATGTCCCTGAATCAGAAGGCATAGGGATAGGAAGAAATCCAGTTCTTGCTGGGACTGAAGGAATTGCCTCCAGTTGCCCTCAAAGCCTCTGTTGGCTTAACAATCATCCTAATTGTGAAGTTCAAAATCTTGTTCAGGAAAGTAGAATGCAGGCAAAATAGCAACGATGGGCTCAGAAATTTCCTTTAGATAAAAATTGCAGCTCTGATAAAAAAACAGCTCGCTTGTAATTCTGCCTGACAAAAGTGTGAAGCGGTCCCCAGTGTACGCAAGCACATGCAGCTGCTTGTTAAAGCCAAAGCACTCGCCCCATCCCATAATGGTGGTCAAACACTCTCACACCAAAGCACCGGGCTGGGCCTCCCAGGCTGCGCTAGCATTTAGTCAACTTCAGTTTTCTATGTTCCCTCTTTTCACCTCCTTTTTCTCCTTCCCACTCTAGCCCAGTTTGGTTCAAAGGGATTAATTCCTGTAACACTCCAGTGGAGAGAAAAGGGCTTTACTTGGCGGCTTTGGGTTTACAAGATCGCTGGTGAACAATCAGTCTGTCTGGCAGGAAGGTACGCCCACAAATATTGCAGGGAACCAACTGGCTCTGGGCACTTGTCCAAGCAGCTTCATTTAAAGCATCAAGATCATAGAAACCTTTGGCTGGAAAGTTAAAGAAAAAGAGAAAGAAAAAAATGAAAAAAAAATAATAATAATAAAAAAGAAAGAAAAGAGGGGGGAGAAAACAGTAAAATGAATTAGTTTTCATTCTGGAGAACCATATTCTACTTTTTATGGAAAATATGTTCAGGAAATACCTGTTGACTGAGGTTTTTAAATAAATCATATGACTTTTGCCAAAAATAAATAAATAAATAAAGAGTACTGCTTGCTGTTTCAAGGGTTGAGTCAAGTTAGCCATGAACCAGAGGTTTTTTACTCTTTGGATGTAAAAAGGGGAAGACAATGTTTTATGTGTTATGATATGCATTCTTCACTAATTATTAACATCTTTGCTTACATATTATTATCTTGCAAATATAACTTTTGGCTTTCTTTCAGCTGACTCTAAATATAAACTTACAGCGGTAAAAGAACATGTATTTGTATTTTCCTTCTATAATCCTTTAGTGGAATGTTTTTGGAGGCCAAAATTGGACAATTGAGAGTGAATTTAAGATGAATTATACCCTAAAAATTTATCATCTTTTCATAGCTGTGAACTTAGAGATTCTTTAAGTAATTAAGTGAAGAATGAAAATAGAATTCTTAATCTGATGAAAAGAAGTGTTCTTAAGAAAACAAAGTAGACAGTTGGAGAAATATAGAATCTTCATTGGCAGAGCATAGCGGAAAAAGGCATATGGCTTTATTTTGAGAAACAATGTGGGATTTAGCTTTAATAAGCCTTATTCAAATAGAGTGACTTTGGTACATTAAATTGACTATGTCTTAGAATCATCCAAAATAGACCCCCAAAATTTAGCCAAGCACTCAAAAATGTATTACTCAGTTTTTATCACTGGCAAGGCACATATTACTTCATTAAAGCCTACACAATCTCATATGATTTCTATCTAGTGGTTCACACAAACATAACAAACCTTAGATTCTTAACATGCTTTCTCCTAACGTTCTTTATTTTTTTGCTCCATGGGAATTTAAACCCCCAAACAACCTAGTATTTCTCCTTTGGATAAAGAAAATATTACTTTCTATTTGGATAAAGAAAATATTACTTTCTATGTAGGATATAAACGTGTGTTTTGAGTGCTTTGAGAACTCTTTGAGAAAAGGACTGCACTGACTTTCTTATTACTCTCATATGAGTTTTAATACAGACTAAAAAATTCCAGAGTAGTCATTGATTCTAACTTGAAGGTGATTCATCACATTTCTAAATGATTTTGCATGGTGCTTTGACTCTGGATCTGGAGGCAAGGGTCATTTGAACTCTACGAAAAAGTCCATGAGTGGAGAACAGTGATGTGCATTCTATTTACCTAGGGATGAAGAGCACCTTCAGAGATAATAGTAGCATAGGATCAAGAGAAAAACTTCAGGGAAGTAAAATTATAGGATCTACTTTTTCTGTCATAAGCAACAACAAGATAGTATCCCACCAGGGCTTTTGAATCACCATTCTTCTTACTTCTTTTAGTTTTTGGATAATTATGGTCAGCACAGAAAATGGTAAAGATCAGAAGGAAAGGAAATAGATTTTGACACTGAGAGTGAATTTAAGATGAGAATTGTTGGGAAGAGATTTTCAAGAAGGTAAACAATCTGGCTGTGGGCAAGTGTTCTACCTTCTATAGGTGGATGTTTTCATCTTGAGCTCTTTTGCCACCTGTCTGCAAGGACTGTGGATAGTTCCATTCTAGCAGCAGCTAGAACTTTATTATGTCAATCTAGATTTTGCTCCGTGGGTTGTTATAAACTCTCCTTGACTCACATCTTAACAGGAATGTTGGACTAACTGACATTAAAATGACCTCCAAGGTACCTTTTAGCACTTGCACATCTATAGATACAAAGGAGAATAAATGAACTAAAAGATACTCTTCTTGGGGCTGGGGATGTGGCTCAAGCGGTAGCCTGCTTGCCTGGCATGCGTGGGTGGCCTGGGTTCGATCCTCAGCACCATATACAAAACAAAGATGTTGTGTCTGCCGAAAACTAAAAAATAAATATTAAAATTCTCTCTCTCTCTCTCTCTCTCTCTCTCTCTCTCTCTCTCAAAAAAAAAAAAAAAAAAAAAAAAAAAAAAAAAAAAAAAAAAAAAAAAAAAAAAAAACTCTCTCTCTCTCTCTCTCTCTCTCTCTCTCTCTCTCTCTTAAAAAAAAAAAAAAGATACTCCTCTTAAAACCAAAAATTTCCTTTGAAGAGAATGAGGAGTGTAACTGAGAAAATAACAATGGTGGAAATATGGTGAGTCTGAGCTCATATGGCAAAAATATTCTATAACTATTCTATAACATCCTAAATGAGTAAATATAAGGTTCTGTGACAAAGTCGCACCTGACAGTTTCATTTGGTTTGCACAGTGCTTCACAAATTTTTAATTGCACACATTTTAAAAAGGTGGATATTTTGTATGAATGTCTACATTTCCAGTTTCTTTGGTATTACTGATAGATATGGCCACATTGGGCTAAATTTCTTAATGATAGCCCCAGCTGTTCCTGTGCAGCTGCTATTTCCTTTGGAGAGAGCTGATGCTCTCCACCTCACCACAGTCCCCACCTTTCCTTTTCTTCATTTTTTCCTTCCCCTACACACAGACCCATTAATTAATTTGTAACCTGACGATAGTGGATCCTGTAAGCACTTAAATTTGTTATCCCTGCTCTGCAGAGACACGTTCATATGTAAAATCAGGACTCTAGATTCACCAAAGGTTTTTAAGCTTTCTGTTTTTTAAGTGTTATGTGTGATAATATATGAAACAAACTCTTGGAAAATACAGTAAATTCCAGCGGGTTCCTCTCATGCAGTCTTGCCAGGACATAGTGTCTTTATGTCTCAGCATCTGAAGACAACCCTTTGCACAGGCATTCCACTGCTGTTTTTCTTATTTGGCTGAAGCCAAGGCAGTAAATGTTGCTGATTTTAGGTGTTTGAACAATTAAAAAAGAATATCTCTACTTATAAGTTTAGAGAGAGAAGCCTCCCCTCTTGTACTCAAGTCACTCTAAGGACTTACCAGTAATGGTCCTGATTTCTGGTTTCTTTGGTTCTGGTCTCCTTAGCTCTTTAGGCAACAAGTTGTTTTCATTATGCCACTTTTTCAGGCATTGTGGCTCATGGATGCTAATAGATTTGGTTCCATATTCACGACCACAAATATAACAAACAACTGTTCGTGGACACTTTATCATTGTTGGCTGCAAATAATATGAAATCTGTTAGATAAAGTTTATAGTTGAAAATTATATTTTAAAACATAGTATATTCAAGGTGGCTGGGGTATGGCTCAGAGATAAAGCCCTTATCTCCCACATGTGAGGCACTGGGTTCGATCCTCAGCACCACATAATATATAAACAAAATAAAGACACTGCGTCAGTGTACAACTATACACACATATATAGTATATTCAAATAGAGTATATTCAAATTAGCTGGAAAATCAATATTATTTCTGAAAATTTCCAACCACTGTGGTGAATTTAACCTTTTTCTGGTAACTAAGGAACCAGAGTATATGTGACTGAGTATATGTGACTTTGGAAGGAAATAAAAAAGAGGCAACCAGAATTCTCCATATTGGAACTATATAAAACGTAATTCCTCATTTATCGAATATTAGTTGCCTTCTAACTATGACATCTGAGTCACAATGCTGGGAGAATACCAAGTCAAGCAAGAATTCTTCTTTCAGTAACATTGGTTCTCATATGTCCATATGCCTGAAAAATAAAGTGCCATTAGAGAGTTTAAAATAACAGTTCAGCCCAAACATCTCATATTGCTTGTGTTTCTCTGTCCTTTTTCATCTGGAACAAACTCCCACTGGCAAGACCATTAATCAATAATAGATGAGAGTTGGTGGATAAATACCCATGTTCTTCACTAAGTCTGAGTCCAGCTTTCCAGAAGTTCCCAGTGAGATTGTACCACAGTTTCTCAGTACATACTATAATATCTCTTTCATCTCTCTCCTCTTGTTTCTTTTTCCTTTTTTTTTTTTTTTTGTTTTTGGTGGTGGTGGTGCTGGGGATTGAACCTAGGGCTTTTTGCATGGAAGGCAAGCACTCTACCAACTGAGCTATATCCCCAGCCCCAGCCCCCTTTTCCTCTTGATTCTTTACTGGGGTATCCTGGATCTCTTTCCAAATGAACTACTTGAACTCAAATCCTTTTCTTAGTTTTGGGGGAACCAAACTCAAGTTCCCCCAGATTGGTTTCTGGGGGAACCAAGTCTAAGTGAAAGTTATAAAAAAATTCAGTAAAGAATTTCTTGCTTCTTTTTTGAATACAAAAAGGCACAATAAACAATGATCCTAACTGAAACAATGAGAACAAATCATATAGCCTACAGAATCATAAGCTTTAAGCCCACTGGAGACTCAAAGTTGTGATGTCAGGAGAAGAAATAAAACACTAAAGTAGCAGGCTTAAGTTCAAACATATCAGTAATTCAAATAAATATAAATGGCTCTAAAGAGCACAATTAAAATACACAGATTGCCAGATTGGATAAAAAAGAAAAAAAGCAAGACTCAACTCTTGTGCTGTTTACAAGAAATACATTTTATGCACATAAAGATGCAAATAGCAAATAAATGAACAAATAAATAGAGAGATGCAAATAGGATACAAACAAAAGAATAGAGAAAATAGTTCATATAGTCTATGTAAACACTAATCGAAAGAAAGTTGGTGTGACTATGTTAGTAAAATGTGGTTGGAGTTCAGAGGATAGAAAAATTTCTTTCAGTTGTGAAGATCAGGGAAAGGTTCAAAAAGGTAGCGTTTGAAAAATGCATAGAATTTAGACCAAAAAGACTGGGAAGGATGAAGAAAGCTATTAGGGACTTGCAGAGCCTCAGGGCCAGTAATTAGAAGGCGAGTCTAGAGAGAACAAATAATTTGCTAGCCTGATGTTCAGTGCAGCATTGGGAACTAGAAATAGGTATAGAACAGCTGTGTTGTGAACAACCATAAATGCCACACTAACGTCTGTATTTTATTTTGTAAATTATAAGAAGTTATTAAGCAGGAAATAAACTATAACTGTGCCTCAAGAAAGTTAGTTTGTTGAGGTGGGGTCATATTAGTGGTAGAGCTCTTGCCTAGCATGTGTGAGGCACTGGGTTCAATTCCCAGCACCACATTTAAATACATAAAATAATGGTCCATTGACAACTTTAAAAAAATAAAATAAGAAAGTTTGTATGCTCAGGGCTAATAGGACAGCATATTTATGAGAGTCTGGGCATTCATGGCTCAGGAAGTAAGAAAATAATGTGTCCAAGAAAATGTCAATATTTTATTTTGATGATGGGGAAGTTGGTGATGTCATTTACAGAAGAGGAGACAACAGAAAAGGCAGTTTGGTAAAAGAGAAAAACATTGATTCTGTTCTGGACCTGTGGAGTTTGATATCCTAGTAGAATTTAATGTGAATAAATTCAGCCCAAACAGGAAATGTAGGCCTTCAATTCAGGATTAATGGATTTTGGAACTATTCACACAGAAAAAGATGTTTAAAACAGGAAAATTCAGAAAAAGATGGCATTATAGAAAGCATACAGAGAAAAATTCCTGGTAGGATAACTGTAATAAAGATATTGAGACAAAGGATGTTGCAGGTAGAAAACAATTTCAAGTTTGCAGTTAAAGAAACAGGGCATGGACAAAAAAAATATTGCTCAGAATTCTGGAAATACTTTCTGGTTTCCGGAAAGATGTTGTCATCCACTCTGTCAAATAGTACAAAAAGTAATGGGTAGCTGAGAAAAGGATATTAGATTATATGTCAGCATCCTTTGAGTTTGGATCCAATGGAGTGGGTAAGGGTAAAGACTACATTGTGAGGAATTAAAAATTAAGTCAAGGAAAGAAGAAGCACATTATAAGAAAGGATAAAAATGTCACAATGAAATCATTATTTTGTACAATTAATATGCACTAATCATTATAATAATGATTTTTAAAAGTTTGCAGAAAGGAAACTTGAGTAGAATTGAAGAAACATCACTTTTGTTGGTTGTAGAATAAGATGTCTTAGGCAGAGACAACAGATCCAAGAGAAAATTGGGTAATTTATAGAGAAAGATCCCAGAGAAGGGAGAGGGGAAGATGGAATCAAGGGCATAACTGGAGGAGCTGAGAGTAACTGATGAAGATCACATAGATGAACATGACCTTCTACAGTATGAAGCAAACTATCTTCAAAGAGTGAAGAGATTCCTACTCTGGGAATAGAATAGTGAAAAATGATGTGTTCAGACATCTTGGGAATTTGATAGTGATTCAATTAGGAAAAACTACTTACCAATTAATGTAAAAGACCTGGTTAAGAAAACTGCAAGAAATTTCAGAGGAGTTAAATGACCTCTTCAGTATATTCTTTAGTAGCACCAGGAGGCAAGAAAACAGAAACAAATTAAATTGATGCTGTAGTCCCCTTTGGGGGAATAAAGCATGGTAAAATGTGTATGTTTTAGAATCAACCTGCTCTTAACTACGACTACTGGGAATTACTTCTTTGAAATGAAGGAAGCACAGAGTAAGAGCAAGATCAAAATCAGAAGGAAACACAAGTACAGTTTTTTGCCTACCAGAAATAAAAACAGATTCTGAGTAAATACATAATTAACATAGACCAAGCAAAGTGAAAAATCGGAGTTACCTCCTAAATGATCCAAGTTTTCTAAAAAGCATATTATTTGAGGTAGAATATCTTTATTCTATAGTAAATTATGCCAATAAAACAATAAACTATCTACACTAATCAGAATAACTAAATAGTTGTTTATCTTTTTTGTGTTTTTGTCATATATCAGGGTCTAACTCTTGAAAAGTAACTTGAATAGCACTTGGGGAATTCAAGATCTAAGAGAATATATAAAGTGTAAGCAATAATTTTTAAGTTATTGGAACTTGCAGCTGTAAGTTCCCTACTAATTTTTAGATGTTTATTTACTTGAAAGGTTAATTTAATGCATATTTTTTTTCATTGAAAAATGAAGAGTTATTCTTTCTACTTTGAGAATAGTGAATTAAAATTCTACATGGAAAATATGAGCCAAATCCAGTATTTAACCAAGCATATAAGCAAAACAAATGACATGGGTCATGAGTGAAGACATTCGTGTCAATTTGTCAGAAATTTTCCCCTGGAAGGGAAAGTTAGAAGAAAACAGGCAGAAACCGGCCAGAAGATATGCACAGAACAACTGAAGGGGATGTGAGAGAAAATTAATACCATAAAGGGGCTGAGATATCCTATATTATATTTTCCAAAGCTTCCCCTATGCTCAATATTTGTGGATGAACTTCAGCTGAACCTGCCACATATGGCATGTTATTGGGTCTTGAACATCTTACTTCTAAGCTCTGTTCAGGGAAGTGCAAAAACAACACAGCTATAACTGAAAATAAAAATGTATCCCCTTGGGTCTGAACAGAGAGATAGATAACCTATTTTATTTTTTCATTTGTTTTACCTTGTTAGCCTGAAACTTCTAGGGAAAGCTGAGCAATCTCAGGCATATGTGGCTATTGCCACTACCCTAACTGCTCAGGTTTTACTATTTAAGGTCTTTCCTTTAGTGTTTTCAGAAAGAAGTGGATGTATGGGAGATGGGAAGGATGAACAGGAAGAAGAGACCCTGCTCTGGCAGAACCAACAGCGAGTCCTCTCTTGGCTAATGTGCACTCCAATAACTTCAGTGACATGGCTTAACAGAGCAAGACAAGGGTGGTAGAAAATCAGCCTAGAGGGTTATATGAGGACATGAAGCCCTGTCCATATGGGGCTTGCTGGAGTCAGCCACCTTCAGGAAAGTGTAATCAAAGGAAGGTGAAGAAGTTAGCAAGTCTAAAGTTTCTGCAGAGCAAAGGATTAGATTAAGTTTTCCTATCAACATTTCAAATAATATTTGTAGTATTACTTGTTAATATCAGGGTGAAAGGCTTTCTCTTTTAAAAAAGTTAATCATTAAATCTACATAGTGCTGTTTCAGGTGTGAACTGTTCTCTGGGGGATGAGGAAATGTCTCTGCACACATTAAGTCTGCTAGGGTGCATCACAATTTTGCTTATGTTCTTTTAGTTTCCTGGAAAAGTCGTTTCAGGCTGGATAGAGACAGAGGCACAAGAACACTTTGGGGGAAGCTTTCTGATGTGTGTAGTTCTTTTAACTTGAATCCACTAACTTTTCATATGTTTTCAATCATTTTGCTGGCCACCATTGGAATTATCATATTATTTTTCAAGCAGAATCTTTTTCTTTTTTTTAATGTCTTTTCTCTTTTGGGAGCACCGCATGTTCAATGTTTTAGGTCAAGTCTGTGTGACACAAAAGAAAGTAAACTCTTCACAAGTTTTCTCCTAATCAGAGCGAATGACTTGTCATCCATTCATTCATTTTTACTATTTTCATAGTTGTTACACTACTTTGAACACAAAAGGGAGAAAATAAGGACCATGAAAAGAGAGTGGATTGGGGGAGAACCTTAAGAGAAGTATTGATAGGAGAGAAATGGACACCATTGTTCTAGAAAACCTAGACTAGGATGCTTATTTCAAATAGTTTCAAATATCTCCTGATGACCTCTCTGATAGCTCAGCCTAAGTGGAAACTATGGAAGGAATCAACCTAAAAAATTAAGAGAGTATGGATAACAATTGGATAACAATTGGTCAGAAGGAGAAAGCAACACTAATACTATTGCCTAACACTAATAGTATTTCATGAATCTTCATGAAATAGGTATTAAAAACTAAAATGGGAGTTGTTACAGAAGATCAATTTGTTCTACAATAAACACTAGGTCAACTTAATAGCATAAAAGTATAGTTGATGTATGATGTTATTTACAGGGCACTTGAGAGAGCCTGGTTCAAGGATGTAACTTTTTAGAGTTTTTTTTTTATTTCCTATGAAATGAAAATTGGTAAATAATGTTTGTGGTGTAAGAGGATCATTTGAAAGTCTGATAAATGTTATGGTAATCACCCTAGAAAAAAATGAACATGTGTACAGAATTGTGGATATGATTTCAATAGATTGGTGGACTCCCCAAAATCCATCCATCAGCCCCAGAAAGTGAGCTACTGAGCCTTTAGATCCTTTGTTTAAGGAGCCATTTAACACTATTTAAATGCCTTAAAAATACTAACTTCAAGAATTCAATAATTTAGGAAGCATACTGCCACTGACTTTAGAGTGATTCCAGGTACTGATTTGTCTAGAATAGTTCTTATTATACTATTGTCTTGGCTAAGTCCTTCTTTGACTCTCTAAAATGTCTCTGCTTAGTCAGCAAATTACATAGTAATCCTACCTCTGGTTCCCTTTGAACAACATCAATTAACAATAGCAATCAAGGGATGAAACAAAATAAAAAATTCTCAAAAGAATAGAAGATATGACTAAAAGACTAGCAATTAATCCATTTCAATGTATTAGTAAGGCAAAATAACTGCAGAAATTTAAGTTTGAGAAAGGAATATAAAATGAGTATACCTTGACAAATAATAATTTAATTATACAAAGTGGTAAGTGAAGAAGAGCTATAAAGAAGTTAATGACACTAAATTTCTCAATCTTTCATGTCAGTCAATTAAAGCAATGTAAAATTAAACTATGGAAGTAAGTTTTTGAAATTTTATAATAACTGTTGTCATTTTTATAAGAATAATGAAATAATAAAGGATATCAACTCTAGAGTCAAAACTTAAGCAGGGATCAAGGAAGAAAATCAGTTCAAAAGGTAAAAGCAAGTGCAGCCTCAATTGCTTCCTAAAAAGTCTTTTAAGTAACTCTGAACAGATATTAAAAGATTATGTATATAATACAGCTAAATAGAATGAATTTGTAGTTGGAATTAGAATATTAAGAATGAATACAGCTTTGCTAGAATAAGATAAAAGTATAATGCTCTGGGTAAGGTTAAAAAAATAAAATATATATTTGGACTCTGCCCCCAGATCCTGACAAAGAGCTGCCAAAACCTTTGCAATTCCCTGAGTGAAAGAGGTAATAGGAGTTTCTTTGTTATATTTGTTCTTAATCCTGGTTCCCGAAACAAGAGCTTCTAAGACCCTTAGAGTATATGAGTAGTAAAAAAAAAAAAAAAAGGGTGTTTTTATGCTAATGAGATGACTGGTAGCCCTAGGAAGTTTCAGGATGGTAGTTTGTTGCAAGAAAGACCAAGACATTTTCAGAGGGCTGAAACTTTTAACCCCACCCCCTGACCTCTAAAGGAAGAGAAACTGGGGGCTGAGTTAATCACCAATGCCCAAAGACTGAATCAATCGTTCCTATTGAATGGAACCTCCATAACAATCCTAATTGAAAGGGCTCAGAGAGCCTCCAGGTTGATAAATCACTCTGAGGTACTGAGAAGTAGGTACACCCAAATGGGCACAAAAGCTCCATGTCACCCTTCATACCTTTCCCTATATACCTCTTCATGTGGTGGTTCTGTACCCTAACCATGCATCAATAGTGGAATAGAGATTTAGCAGATGACTCTAGAAGAAAGAAATTTTTATGCCAAGAAAACTGCACTACGCAAGTTAAGGCATTGTGGTATTGTGAGAGGTAGAAAGCAATGAGAGAACTTAATAAAAAGTGTTCAGGGAGTGTGTGAAGTCCTGTATGCAAGGATGAGGATTTAGATGCAGAATCAATCAGATTAAGAAATGAGCTAGATGGGGCAACTTATAATTTTTATCTTGGTTGTCTCATATTGGAAAATGTATACTGGTTCTGTCTACATTAGATAGCAGTCTCAAGTCACAATAAAAACACTAAAGCAAGTGTAAATACCCATTAATGAATCAATAATAAAAATATAGCACAGCCATTCATTTAATTATTACTCTGTTCTAAAAAAAAAAGAACTACTGCAAATTGCATTAATATGGGTGAAACTCAGAATAATCATGCTGAAAAGACTTAGATACAAAAGAATTTAAAATTCAAGCTAATCTGTAGTGGTCGAAAGTCAAATCAAGGATTTCCTGGAAGCTGAAAGTATAAGGTGGGACAAAGGACTATAGGGAATTTGGAGTGATAAAGGAAATGTGTTGTATCTTAATTAGTATATAAAACTACCAAAACTTTTGAATCACATGTTTAATGGGTGCAGTTTATTGTTGTAAATAGTTTCTCAAGAAAACTGACTAAAAACCACCCATGTAGATAAAGTTTAGTGATTTTTGCATTGCTATGCTCATACAAGTACACATTGTTGAGTAAAATTCCAAAATGAAATAATGTGTTTTAGAGTCACTTTTGCCAGGAATTAGGGGATCTATTAAATAGTGTATATTATAAACTTTTTGTCTCCCAAGAAGTTCTCCAGTTCAACAAAATAAATACTACACATCCCCAAACACAAAACCTGAAAAAGTAAAAGACCTGGGGAAAATTAGAAAATGTTTTATTGAGTTTTTTTTAGTACATTATTTTTTTTCCCTGACAGAGAAAGAGCACTAGTAACAAACTCCATTCATATGAAATTTTACAAAGAAAAGTCAAATTCTATAGTGTCAGGACCTGGGCTCTTGCAGTCCAGAGATGAAAACACCAAAGTAGGACTCTCACGCTGTGGCCACATGCATGGTATTTTCTCTGTTGGAAACTAAGTGACTCTCATTTTCCAGTGTGAGGAATTTTAAGACTCAGTAGTACATAAAAGCAAGTGAGTGGTGTGTGTGTGTGTGTGTGTGTGTGTGTGTGTGTATGTGTGTGTATGCATACAAGAACACAAGAGTCATTCATTACTTTGGTTGATTAAGGAAATACTTGAAAGGATCTCCTTGCCTCGAACTACTCATCCCTTTACACCTCACTTGACTTGTCTTTGTCCTCCTCTCCATCTTATCATTATTTTCTTTAGGATCAGTCAGCTCAAGATGAAAGATCAAGCTGAGAACTTTGGCTCTAGAAAGTCGCAAGAACAACTACCCAACTACTACCAGGGAATAGAGGAAGCCATTGGCATTCACACATTGGAAGGCAGTGGTTTGCTGGATTTATTTATTGTCATTGAAGCTTTTGGCCTGTTCTTCATGATGAGACCATTTTTGTTGGGCTGTGCCAAAACAATCATATCAAAATGTAAAAGATAATTTTTGTTATCATATTATTTTAAGTATGCACATGAAATTCCTGGCTCTTCTCCTAAGTAACATGCTTTGTATATTACTTGGAAATATATTTTTTAAATGATGAAAATTTAATGATTTTTTCCTTTTTTTTTTTCTTTTTTTTGAGTTGGCACCACAACATCCCTGCATCAAAACAGTCACATTCCCCAAGTCACTTGATAGTAACCTTGGAGTTAAAGAGAATTCAGGGGACCCAGAGGTGAAAGAGTATCCTGAAAAGAAAACAGCCCTTGTTAGCCTAAACCACGACTTTCAACAAATTAGAAAAATGCATTCCTACCATCAGACATTTTCCAACCATATGGTTTTAATCATTAATCTGTAACGATACAAGTTACAACTTGTGAAATTTTAAAAAAATAATAAAAGGTGACCATGAGAGAGATAGACATCACAATCCTCACCCTGTCTCACAGCTGAACCTAGAACTGTCCCTAGATAATGTGTATTTTGTGTCTGAAATACAGCATGACTGCAGCATGGCTAGTCCGTAGTATCTGGCTTCAATCAGTTATTTTTCAATTTCATAAATTCAATAAAACAATGGATTCTAAAGAGCGATAGTACAGTTACATTGTAAGAAGAAATAAACCAGAGATGTCTGCTGAAAGGGCAGCTGAGATTGATTCAGATGCGACCTGTGCTAAATGGAAATGCATCTGGAGGAAAGGGCTGCCTCCCAGTAGTTGATCCAGTTGCAGCCCAGAGTCCACTGCTCAGGAAGTATTTCTGATTACCAGCTATGTGCCAGGCACTGTGCTAGGTACAGAAGGAGAACTGGCCCTAATGGTGGGAATGATCATACCCATCTCAACCTTTACTGGGAAATATTTTTTAAAGGTTTATCTCTGGAGAAATAGGTCGACAGCTCTCTGTTTGGCAGGGGCAGAGCCCATTCCACATGACAGGAGTCCAAGAGTGAAGGGAGTGGGGAGGGTGAGAAGGGGACCAGCTGAGTGGAGATAACATTCCCCTGGCTTCTCTGCCCACTGACATGTTTGAACTCAGACAGATTAATTTTGAGAACTATTTTTCAGACAAGGAAACTTTTAAAATCCTGAACTCTTTGTGACCCTTTTATTCTCAGGTTTGGCTCCCAGGTGTCTGACATGCAGGAATGACTTCCTGCTCTGTAGATTTATGCAGGTGATCCATATGCTGGCTAATGGTGGGGACTGCCTATGCTCAGACATGAGGTGTGCATGCTCCTGCTCCCTGCACACACTGTCACAAACTATGTGGGTCCTGTCAGCATTGTGTCATCTGTAATGCTTCACTAGCCTGTGTCGCTACTTACCCTTGCCTTCATACTCTGGTTCTTAAGATTGTAAATTGATGTACCTACAGCCATTTCAGTGAATAGGTATGTTTCATTTGGCCAGCTCAATGTTCTTAAAAGTTTTACATGTGAATATGTTTAGGTGGGACCTATTGTCCAGGATACCATGCTGCAGGCTCCAGTACTTCCCATTGCTCTCTATGCTGTCTGCACTCCCCTGAATGCATTTGTGCTTATGACTCTGAACAACCTATTTTCCCCAATCCCTCAATCGCCCTAGTAAAAAGTCTTTGCTTGTATCTCATTTCTAAGAAATGGGATGATGTTTTAATGTGTCAGTGGCTAAAAAAAAAAAAAAAGGGTTGTTGATATGTTCAGTGGATCTTTGCTTTTTACCTGGCATCTCCTATAGAATTAGTGCTTTGATTCATAGGACTGAATCTCTGTGAAATTTTAAAAAAGAAAAAAACAAAAACACTTTTCAGGAAGGAGGGAAGGTATTTTAGTGCAGAAATAGCTCAGCGACACAGTAGAGATCAGTATACTCAAGATTGCCTGTTTGCTTTGAATTTAAACATAACCGCAATTACAACAGATCTTGATGGAAGACTTGAAGCCCATTCTTAGGCACAGTAGCTCTTACATTAAAGGGTGAGGTTGATTTCTAGACAGTGTATGCACAGTAACAATGGGTAAACCTCAAGTCATTTACTTTCTGGAGGATTTTTGCATTCCCCACTGGATACCAGGCTATCAAAAACAGGACTCTGAGGGAATGTGTGATTGTGCAGCTGTTTGAATGGGTGTCATTCCTCAACAAGTGTTTTTCTTTCTGCATGACAAAATTAAACAAAGAATTTAGATCTTAGCTGCTGTTTCAGATTTTCTACACTCCTGATCCCTTCCATTATGCCAAATAATTGAGATGTCTGTGGTAAGTGCATAAGGTGCAGAAAGTTTGCATGGGAGAAATAAGAGAGAAAGTTCTCTCCCTTGCCCTGTGATGAAAAAAAAGACAAAAAAAAAAAAAAAAACTCTTTTCTAGATCCTTGTATGTATTGGAATCATCTGACCAAGTAGCACAAAACTGGTTAACAATTACCCAGCATTTACTAAGAAACTGGTCCTGTACTGTGCACTTTACATGCTTTATCTCTTTTATTTTCATAACAATCCTCTAGGCAAGGTAAGACTCAATACCCATATTTTACAAACTAGGAAACTGAGGCACAAATAATTTGTTTTGTCCCAGACTGTGGCTTCTGACCGTGCTTTTCACCACACTACTACTATGGAGGGGGCGGGAGGGAGCTAACAAATGACGCATTATCAGGCATCATCCCATCTCCTTTGCATGCATTCTCTCATTTCAACTAGTAGCAGTATGGACATTGGGACTGGGGAAGTTCAGAAACTTGCTCAAAGGTTGTGTGATTTTTGTTGTGTATCTATGGTCTAAATCCAAGTCTGTCTGATTCCAGCGCTTTGAGAAATTTGGGATTAGAGATAATGCAGTCATCAGTGGTTATGAAGTATCATGCTCTGCCAATGGGTCCACTGAGTCAGCCATTGAATGGGATTTGAGAGAAACCAAAAAAGCTTCTACTCTGTTCTCTCAACTAATTAAATGTTTATTCCTTTGGGTTAAACATTGCTCTATCCCAGATCCTCTTTCAGAATGCAAGTGGACCTATGAGAGGCATTTTCCTATGAAGACCTCTAAACCTCCTTCTAAGAATAATATCAGTGGGTGGAGGTGGCAGGGGTTGGGAAGGTACAGAAAGTACTGAAAGGAAAAGGAGATTGGAATATGATGACAGGCCACCAAAGACTCATTTCTCAAAGTCAGAATTTTTGCCTACGGTCATTTAAAACAGTTTCAACAACTTGACTGAGACTGAAAGTGTACAATTAAATTTCCATTCCTTCAGGCATGTCCTGCACATGCAGACAAAATATAAATAGCATTTAAATATATAGGAGTAACTGAATAGTTCAATCTCAAACCTCAACAATTGTAGAATTTGATTGTCTAGGAGGAACTGGTATTTCACATTTACTTCTGGTGTTTTCAAGCAGTTCTACCCAAATCTCACATCTGGAAGGATCATTGTTTGAAATTAAATTGTTTTTGGAAATCACTGGATACCACATAAAG